CCGAATTTTCTTGGCAGAGACAAACCGGTGGGTTCGTGCTTTGCGTGTGCCTTGACTGCGCCCTTGCGTGCCTTGATTCGTACGCCTTGAAGCGAGGGCTTTGCGGCGGAAGTCGTAGACATGCACTGTGGGCAGAAGGAAGGTGGGCAGAAGGAAGGGAGTGATCGATGACCACAAGACGAACTCACCAATCAATCTTGACCCAGACAATTACATGCACGCTTTGGCCTTTGCCAGTCTCCATATTTAAGCGACCACAACACCTCTTTTGTCCTCCACTACTATGTTCTCAGACAATCTCAACGCACGCTCCCAGTCTATCACCACCGCCGAGGTCGATACCTACGGCGTTCTCAACAGACATGCTATCAAGAATACAGCCTTCCAAGTGGGCGTCTCCGAGGACAAGGGCACCCGCAGAACTATGGAGGATGCGCACTCGTTTGTTGTCGACTTTGCTGGTGTCCGTGGCCAGGGCTTCTTCGCCGTCTTCGATGGCCATGCTGGTAAGCATGCCGCCGAGTGGTGTGGAGCTCATTTCCATCAAGTATGCGTCCATCTACCTAGCTATGCAATCACTGACACCTCTCTAGTATCTTCTGTCCTCCATGAAGCGGCTAGCGATGCCCATTCCAGATGTCCTCAACCAGACATTCCATGATGTAGATGAGAGTCTATCTCGCATGTGCGAGGAATCTGCCGGCAAGATTCATTCCGGATGTACTGCAGTGACGGCCTTCCTTCGTATCGAGGACCAAGACGGCCACCAATCCTTCCTTCCGCCCTCACAAGACGCGGACGATGTCAGCGTCGACAGTGTCGAGAGTCTTCATTCTGGCGAAGAAGTCAGCAGCCCCAAGAAGAAGAAGAGATCCCTCACGGGGGGCCGTCTACGCAATGCGCTCAAGAGTCTTAGCGGCTCCAGTTCCCCCAAGACCTCTCGCTCCCAGTCCCCGCTTTCGGTGAAATCATCCGCGGAAGGCGTCACTGCGGTTGTACCCCCGTCCACAGCTAGACGCGTATTGTACTGCGCCAACGCGGGGGATGCGAGAGGTGTTCTCTGTCGTGCAGGCAGGGCAGTCCGTTTGACGTATGACCACAAGGGCTCGGACAAGCAGGAAGCCAAGCGCATAATTGATGCCGGCGGATTTGTGATGAGTGGGCGCGTCAACGGCGTCTTGGCCGTCACGCGGAGTCTCGGTGACTCTTCGATGAAAGAGTTTGTCGTCGGTGCTCCATACACAACAGAAACGGAGCTCTGCGACGAGGATGAATTCCTAATTTTGGCATGCGACGGGGTATGTTGTTGCCATTACTTCCTGTTATAGCACTCATTGCTTGCACAGCTCTGGGATGTGACGAGCGACCAAGCCGCCGTCGACCTGATACGTGAAACCGAGGATGCTCAAGTTGCCAGTCAAATGCTACTAAGAGACGCGATCGCAAATCATACGTCGGACAATATAACCGTCCTCGTCGTCCGGTTCAAGAAGGGGTCTTCTTCCCCCAGCGCTTAGGGTGTACTTGTAATAATAAATCAGCAATGTACTTGTTACTTAGCATACTTGAAGGATTATTTGTAGCGCCCGGAGTAACCGAGTGCCCCTGAGCCGTTGATGTACGTAAACAAAGCGCGCCATGGCTGTAACAACATTCTTCTTGCAAATACGGCCATGTCCAACTATCCACCTGGACCCTATCTTCCGCCTACCGAGCCCTACGCGCCCAAGTATCAGCAATACGCTCCGCCCTCCGAGCCATTCTACTCGGACACAAAGTCCCCTTATGAAAATGATAGGTTCAAACCGAAGAAGAGAGTCAACGATCCAATCTTTCTGATACTTTTCTGTCTCCAAGTACGCCTCCCTCCGCCTTCGCCTAGTTCAAAACCAAAAAAAAGAAATAGCTAGCTGCCTTCGGTGCACTATCAGGAATAGTCATATCTTCTTGGGCCAAAGACAGTGGCCTCGGTGGTGGACTGGGCAAGGACTCGACCGGGACACACGTCTCCTTGAACCGCAGCACGGTCTACCTGCTTCTGTTGGTTACTGCTGCAGCGCTCTTGTTGTCTGCTGTCTACCTCATGGTCCGTGCTTCCAACTCGTCCCTATTCTTGGCACTGATCTTGGCGGCAGCTCGTCCGTGCCTTCACCAAAAGTACTGCTCGTTACGTTTGTTTTTATCTGGAAGCTCACGTCCCTAGTCATCATGCATATAACCCTCCTCTTGTCGATTGCGCTCAACATGTTGAGTTATTCGTTGTTTGCCTGCATTCCATCTCATCTGTCATTTCAGCGGCATTTGCGGTATTAACGTCCTTGGTGATTTCCGCGTCCACTGAACAGTTTCAGTGTATTATTGGATTACGAAATACTACTCTGGAGCCATAATGTTTGATTCCCAGCAATTTCATCCAACATCAAACTGAAATTTTCAGATTCACCGTTATAGCGCTTCTGTCCATCCTTTCATATTTTGGCTTCAAGTCGCGCATACCATTAGCTGCTTTACTGCTTCAGGTTGTGATGGATGTTAGCAAGCACCACATCTCGGTCTATGTGGTGGCATTCAGCGCGCTCATCTTCCAAGCACTCTTGGCTGTGTCCGTCTTTCTTATATTCCACGGCAATCCTCTCATTTTACGACAGGTGGTTCACTTTCACTGCAATTGCCACATACACCAAGTGGACGCCAGGAAATCCCTGTTCGTATTCATTTGTATGCCAGCTGCAAGTATTCATTCTGTTCCAGCCTGCGAAACAACGTCCTGCTCTTCAGGAAAGGTAAAATTCAGCTCTTTTTCATCTTATTTCAATGCTAACTGCCGCGTAGGTCGCTGGGCTGATATTCTTCGAAGTCTTTTCGTTCCTCTGGACATCACAAGTCGTTGGAAATGTTGCCCTCGCCACTCTGGCTGGTGGGCCATACGGCTGCTGGTACTATTTCGGACCGCGCGGGGAGGGTGACATGGTATGCTTTGCCCGAACTTTCTTGTTACTCGACTCATCGACCGCAAAGCCCAAGCACCCGACCCTATCTGCCTTTGGCCGCTCCTCGACTTTGTCGCTGGGTTCGATCGCCTTTGGTTCTCTGATTGTGACGCTGTTAGAGTTGATCAAGATGATTCTTCGTGCGGCGGAGAACTCTGCGAATGCCGACGGACATCGTGAGTGCTCTTTTTCCTGCATGACTTCACTGACTTTGTCTATAGCTGTCGAGGCCTGTCTGGCATGCTGCGCTGCGTGTTTCGTTGGGATAATTGGTGTGTTTTTCTGCTTCAAGTTGCTGCTACTGCCTAACCTGTACATAGAGTCGATGGTCGAATATTTCAACCGTTACGCGTACATTGAAATCGGTGAGCTGACATTTCGTTCACCTTGTGCTTTTATTGACTATATCCTGAAGCTCTCTACGGAAAACCGTATATCACGGCTGCCAAGGACACTTGGCGATTGCTGCAAGACCGCGGTGTCTCGGCCATAGTGAACGATTCTCTCGTGGGAATGAGTAAGCCATACGTTACTGGAAGCCCTGAAAATGCTCATAGTTCGAAGCGTTAATGTGGGGTGGGTACGCCGTTGGCCTACTCTCTTCGCTATTTGCGTATCTCTACCTTCGCATCACTGCGCCATCCTACAACGCCGACGGAAACTATACGGCGCCGGTTGTGCTGTTTGCGTTTTTGATTGGGCTGCAATGCTCATTGACTCTGTCGTCCGCCATCGAAGCGGGTGTGTCTACGATGTACGTGCCCGCGACTTTCATTTTGCTTTTCCTGATTTTTTTCTAGTTTTGTCGGGTTGGGCGAAGATCCGCAAATCCTGGCGCTTCGTGCCCCAGCGTTGTTTGCGTTGATTGCTCAAACCTACCCGGACGTAGTGCAGGGTGTAGCGTAGCATAGACATTTTTTGGTATCTCTTGTTGGCAGAATCTACATGTGTACCGTAATTCCAAAAGTACCAGTGAGACGGGTAAATTTGAACTGACCCAGGCTGTTTCCAAATTGTGAAGTCACGTGAAATTCGGCCATCGCGCGGCAACCAGTATTTATCGCATTTCCGCAGTTGATATCAAATGTGATCTGAAGAAATTGATCCCGGCGCACGCAGCAGCTGTTGATCTCAATCGGGGGTGCCGACGAGTTGCCGACAAGAGCCGTCAAGCGAAACAACGAACAACAACGTTTATTCCCTCACGCCGACCACCACGCTCGCTACACGCCGCCGTCTGTCATCGACGCCAGCCGTCCGTCTGCCTTCTCAGTGGCGCCGGTCTCAAAAGCTTCGGTACTCGCCCGCCATGACCTTGGCATGCCAATGGATTGACCTCGCAATGTGCAATTGGTGACGCTAGGTGCGGCACTCATGCCCTTCTCGATTCTCGCCCATTAATACCCTGTCTTGATCAGCGCCTCCGTGCGAACAATACCAATTTTACGCGTTGGAAGGGCTCATGACTCGCTGGGCTGGGTAGAGGTGCGACAGTGAGTGCTTGCCTCGCCTCTTCTTTCTCAGGCAGCACTGCTCGCTGGCGCTGAGACACCCCATTCGCCTTCCCCTTCGGCTGCTGTACACGCTGTGGACCGTCGCTGAGGCGAACGCTAGTGTCAGTGTCTTCCTCGCCATATGAGCCCCGAGCCCCATGGAGTGGTCTGGGTCCATCGATGCTGCTCATCGCCGTCCGGCGTCGAGTCTCGAAGCACCTCCGTCCCTTCTGCCTCTCTCTGCTTGTATGTACCTCCCAACCAGATTGTGTAGCCTAGAGAATGTAACGGGATACTCGCCCACTGTGATTTGTCTGTCTGTAGTCCAGGAACACCGCTGCTTTGACTTGGGAATGTTTCGCTGAGCGGCACATTTCGGCACGAGTTGTTGTGATCAAAGGTTGCTGTGCACCGCCGCCATCAAATTTGATAAGATTATTTGATATCAACTGCGGAATCGCTACAAGTTGTTTATTGGCTGTGCGTCCAGAGACGGCGTGCAAAAAAGGATGTCAAATGTCCCTAATCGGAATCGAACCGATATCGATCGCGCCACAAGCGAGCATACTAACCGTTATACTATAGAGACGGGAAGTTGTGTTGGAAGTGGTTGACCACACAATCTTGCCATCATTCGCGCCGACATCTTGCCGACATTCAATAGGATCAGACTCCGATCATTCGTTCGCGTTCATTTGTGACGTCATCCGCACAACTAAAGCTCTCAAAAGGCGCGGCCGCAGCCCTCATTCACCTCTTTCTGAGTCTTCCGAGTCTTCAACTTCAAGTTCAAGTTCGCCATGCGCAAAACATCATACGCTCTGACCGCTTTATTGGTCGCGGTTACGACCATTCTCACTGTGGTAGCCCTCACCAGAACCGATTGGCAAGTCATCCCACCAGGGAACTAACCGGGCACCAACCTTGCACAGGGTCGTCGCGAAATACTCGGCCTTCGAATCCACCTACGTCGCGAAATACGGTTTACAGCAGACTTGCCAACGTCTGGTTATAAACCTACCGGGCGGCGGGTCCAAGTTTGACAAGCTCGAATGCCGCAAGTTCCCCGACCGCAAGAAAGACGACTGCAAGGACAATGAATACTTTTGCGCTGCATGGAATGGCGCCGGGTATGCGACCGAGGTGTCCATTGGATTTGGTGTCCTCTCCTTCCTTGCCATTATCGTCGGAGTCAGGTATGTATTCAGTCAATTCTGTACTCGGTGTCTCAACTGTGCAGCACCCACTCTCGTCGACGCCGGATTTGGCGTGCCGTTGCCGGCCTGGTCACCATTCACGCCATCTTGCAGCTCGTCGCGTTTGCGCTCGTCACCGACTTGTATCGCACGAGTGGTTATCCTACTTTTGAGGACGCCAAGCTTGGTAAGTACCAGATATTGTACTGCGATGTTGCTCACGCTCTGAATACTCAGGCTCGGGCATTATTTTGGCGGCAATTTCCTGGGTTCTGGGAGTCCTGACTGCAATATCCGTCATACTCACCGGTGTGGCCGCTGACCAGGGCAAACGCTGGGCCGCAGGTAACAGAGCCTACCAGCCGATTAACTAATTTCTGTACGCGATACATGTAAATTGTACAATTATTCAAGCCATGCCTTTCCTCACATTATCAAACTGACTGTGGTCGTACACAAGCCAATTCGGGCTGCGATCCTTCTCGCCCATCGCCGCTTGGACGACCTTGACGAGACTCTGGCCTGGCTGCGGATCTTTGCCAGGCCCGCCCTCCATGCCTTCCCGCGAACTCCCCTTGTCGCCGCTGAGTTCCCAAACCATCGCACCACCCAACCCCTCGTTGCGTATATACTCGCCTTTCCAACGCGCAACTTCCTCCGTATCATAACTGACCATTTCTTTCTTTTCGTAGTCGTACGACCAACTCGCCATAGCTTTCTCGTCTCGGAAGACGTGCGCGCCGGGCAAGGGGAGACTCCGATAGTCGTAAACCCCTTGCTCCCAACTTCCCGGTCCGATTCTAGTGGAAAGATTAGACCGAGTCAAAGGAAAAGGTGACAAAATACCCTGAGAAAGGTTTGCCGGGGCCGTCCGTATTCATGAAAGATCGCCCGTAGAGGGGGACACCCAAGACGATCTTGGAGCGCTCGACGCCTTGATTAATGTACCATTCGACAGACTTGCTAGCACTAATTGGACCGCCGTAGATGTTGGCCTGCAAAGGCGGGATTAGAGACAGGGAAGCCAGAGGGAGACGAGCGAACTTGGTGGTTAGCGACGCTGTCCCAAGACCCCGCTAAGAATATTTAGATGATTTCTAGGTGCGAACGCGACACCCTTACCAAAGTCATACCTGAGTCGGGTTGGTTTAGGTTCTGAGAGGTTGTGGAGGTTAGACTTACGCCATTAGATTCCAAAAGTCAAGATATCTGTCCATTTCTTTGACGTGTAATTTCTGGTAATTGTCGGGTCCGCATGGAGCAGCGATCTGCGGAATAATCCAGCCGTAAAACAATTAACCCGACGAGTACACGCACAGTCAGGAGATATTTGTAATCTCGAGGCGGGGAGTTAGGTCCAGGGCGCCTCGCGTGTTCATCCAGTCCGTGACGGAGTTCTTTCAACAACTCGGTGTAACCCGCCGCTTGGTGCTTGTCAGACGGGTACTCATAATCCACATCAAGCCCATCAAGCGCCTGAAAAAGACGTTTGGGGTGCTATCTTTCCCTTCAATGCGATAACTTACGTAGTCCTCCAAAATTTTGATCGAGGAACGGACGAATTGAGCCCGAGCGGCAGGGGAGATGACCACAGAGTGGAATTTGAGGCTATATGTCCACCCTCCGATGGAGAGAAGTACCTTGAGATGCCGATTTTGTTTCTTCAGATTGTAAATCGCCTTGAAATTGCCTACGAGATGTTGGAACTGAAGTTGTTCAAGAGAATGAAAGTATAACCGTATAGATTGTTGCCGGTGTCTTCCCAAGAGTCCCCGGGGTAATGTATGTCTTTATCTGCCCATACATCCGACAGGATGACCGTGCCATCTTGCTGGATGTCGGCGAACGCGTAGAGAATGTGTGTAAGATCGGTTGGAATGAGTGATGGCGGGAATTTGCGACCGTAAATCCCCCTTGACGCAGGTTAGCTTCGAGCGCTTGGCCATTGAAAGTATGTACCAATTCACAAAACTGAGTGGAATGAATTACCAGGACGCGGGGTGTGGGGAGCACGCACTAGCCGACCATGTATTTGCCGTGGGTCATTTCTGTTGTTGTTGTCAAGTCCAAAGAGTTTCTGATCGGTTGCCTCAGCCAAAGGGAGATGAGTATGGAGATGCAGATGAAAGAGGCTGCGAAGGTGAACAGAGTTCGTCGTGGTGGTCGTTCAAGCGCAGCAGGCATGTGATGTCGTACTGCAGTTCCCGATATGGAAATCACCCAGTTCAGAGTGTTCTTCGTTAGATTCCCGTTCAAGTTGTGATCTGGAATATTAGGAAGCCCGGAAAGGCACGAATTGGTATACAAGGTGTCCAAAATCCCTCTACTAAATAGTACATTATATGCTAGCATTGCCCTAGAAAACTGTTTCGTGGCCAACTTTGTCCGAAATCGTCGCTCCAGCTTGTGAAGTTGGGGTTGGTATATGCGTCAATGTACCTGGATAAACCATGAGAAATGCTAGATGCAGACTATATCTCCCTGTTAGCCGAAAAATCCCTTGTCCCTCCGAAATGAGTTTCCCGAGATGCAGGTGTGGCCACCGAAGTTGCGACTTCGTCTCTTGGACAACTGCACCTACACCCTCCCTTAGATTTTTGACGGCGGTCGCATGACAGGAGGCTGCAGAAAAAAAAGGGCTTTCGGGGGGATAGGGAACGGCTAACGGGGAGATATAGTAGAGACTGAAAACATACTGATTGATGTAGGCCTGCGTCGGGAAATCTGGCGGATTGCACCCGATGTTGATGGCGTTTTTTGGCTGGTAGACTCGGATATAGTCCACGTGCATTGAGGATGGGAACGTGAGCTGGTTGAGTTCGACGTTACCGAAGTTGAAGCTCATGCCGAGGTTCGCGATAATGTACATTGGTTCTGGAAAGGATCAGCTGGAGATCAACAAGGAATGTTCAAGAAAGTGAAGACGGAGAACATTGCCAAGGTTGGCGGACCCGGAGCCGTGAAGCAGAAGAACAAGAGTGCCGAGGGTGACCAAATTGATGCGCCATCATCCATTCAAGCCCCTTTCCCCTCCCTCCGGACATCTTTCAGCCCCACTGCCACCGAGCCGTCGGAGCGACTACACGTAGAGTCACTCTACGGCTATCGCTATCGCTCTCCTTGCATCCGAGCCCAATCAGCAGGAATAGAATACACACCTTGCGGGATGGGTCGCGCAGATATGTTAGTGAGGGGATTCGCGGCCAGTCCGCCCGATCGAATAGTCCACGAGACGACATTGTTGGATATCCAGGTGATATACTAAGTCAAAGTATTCAGCCACACACCAGAAAATGACCGGGACACCAACCGCATCGTCAAATCCAGGTTTATATTCGAAGCCGTAAATCGAAAACTGATTCCCGTTGAGTTCGTAGGCAGTGGGGTCCGTGGATGAGACCACTGAAGTAGCTTCCTGGGTGATAGATCCTTTGAAGGTATTCAGCGCCGAGATCGACGGATTGGGTATTTGCAAGTTATCAGTGGTGTTAAACCATTCGTAGGCCTAAGAGGATATAAGCCTCGACAGAGGGTTGCAGGGCAGACAGTACCGCGTCAAAGGGAGCCCATTGGGCGCTTTGAGAGACTTGCGAGACACGATTCTTGTTAATCTGGGCCTCAAATCTAGAGTTACGTTGAGATCCGCGAACGAAAATATGAGTCGCAACTGACACATCAATCTCCGGTGCCGATCGGCCAACAAAAGTGCCGTCGCTGTGCATCGGGCCAGGATGGCTTTCTCCCGGACAAGTGCATCTTGAAAGACGCTGTCCTGGGAGCCATGATAACTCTCCGTGGTGCCCAGTGTCACCGTGTACAGTGGCTGCTTCGGGAAGTCCATTCACCGTCTGGTTCTGCACAGTTCCTACATCACACGAATCGTATCTGGATGAGTAAATCAGTAGAAGATACGAGGGGTTCCACGAAGCGTACGTATAAGGCCAAAGCCCGTCGAGCGAGGCCCCATAACCGGCTCGGCCCAAATTACCCATTGTCCAGACTGGAAGACGTGAGCTCGAGTTGATTTTTGAATGGAGAACACACCGGCCGGCCAAAAACCCATCACGTTATTGGCCCCGGGGAGAATCACCCTCGTTTCAATGTACCCGCCCGTAAAGCAAAATTTATTCCTGAAAAAAGTGTGAAAAGACATTCACAGAGCCAAAGAATCTGGGTTTACCACGTAGATAGCAATCCTAAAGCGACAGATAAAACACCATGCAGGAGACTTACAAACAGTACTCACCGCCCTCAAAGTTGAGATTATGTGTCGGTTTTTCAGAGAGGGTGATGACGAGGGAACCCCCTTTGGTCGTGACAGCTTCAGGGTCGTACCACTAAAGTGCTGATAAACAGACAGGCGACACGGAACAAGTGTGACTGACTTCCAGAT